TTTTTTTTTTTTTTTTTTTTTGGTCTTTTTGAGATAGGGTCTCCCTGTAGAGCCAGCTGGCCTGGAACTCACAGGGATCTGTCTGCCTCTTACTCCCCAGTGCTGGGATTAAAGGCATTGTCTTCTTTTTAGTTGCTTCAGTTGAAATTGATTGGTTAATACTGAAGTCAGGTGTTTTGTATCTAGGTAAATTCATTTTAAGCCATGAATTGAGCTCCTATAGCACATGTTATTTCAATGAAAATGATAATGATGACAACTTACATTTATTTATTGTAGGGGTATACGTGCATGTGCAATCCATGTGAATCCTAGGGATCGAACTCAGGTCTTCATGCTTGGCAGCAAAAACCTTGTACCTGCTGAGCCATCTGGCTGGCCCCAGCACGTGTTTTTTAACTTCCAAGGAAAGGCTTGCAGGACTGGGAAGATAGCTCAGCCCAGAAAGTGCCTTCCATCCATTCATGAGGACCCAAATTCAAACCCTAGAACTCATATAAAAAGCTGGGCATATTGGCATGCTGTTGTAATCCCAGCACTGGGAAGGTACAGCCAGGAGGCTGAGGTGGGGCTCACAGGCCAGCCAGTCTTAGCTTAATTGGTAAGCTCCAGGCCAATGAGAGACTTTGTCTCAAAGGAGATGGATGATGTTTCTGAGGATGACACCTAAGGTTGTCCTCTGATCTCCACATGCAGACACTTTTACATATACCTGCACATTTACATATACCTGCACACAAAAAGGGTTTGATTAATATCATTCACTTGGGAAGCTGAAGCAGGAGGATTGTAAGTTTGAGAGCAGCCTGGGTTACAGTGTGAGTACTAAGTCTGCCAGGGATATATAGCAAGATCCTGGCTTGAAAAACCAAAAAGGAAAAAGGAGACATGGGTAGGAGTTGGATGTTAGCAGGGTACAGGGTGTGTGGATGACAGGGTGGGACTTCCTTATGCTTGGGAATGTCACTGATAGAATTAGGAAAGGTTTTAAAGAGTTACTGGATTAAAAAAAAATATTCTGTGTTCATTTGATCATAGGTTTGCAGGATTTATAGGAAATTAGTACTGTAATTGTGCACTAATATTAAAAAAACTTATATGTGCATGTGGGTCAGAGGACAACCTGTAGAAGTCAATTCTCTTCTACCATATGGGTTCTAGGGATCAAACTCAGGTTGCCAGACTTTGCAGCAGACATTTTTCTTGCTGCTCCATCTTACCGTCCATAATGTTCTTTTGCCCTTCAATACTTTGGTAGTACTTCCTTTGCCCCACATCTTTTTATTTGATAGAAAATAGATATGGGGCAGAACACTAAACATTTTGAAACCTTAACTATGAAACTGATGAAAAAGAAATCTTCAGAATTTTACTCTAGCATATTGGGTCAGCAACATGGTTTAGTGTATAAAGGCCCTTGCTGCCAAGCTTGATGACTTGAGTTCTGTCCCACGGTCCCACATGATGAAAGGAGAGAGCCAACTCCTAGAAGTTTTCCTGCGGCCTCCACACATGTGCCATGATGTGTGCCCTCATCCCACCCCCAAATAAATGTAATTTAAAAAAGAATTTTACTGCAGTATAACCATAACAATTAAGTATATTGCCAATCTCCAACAAAAGACAATTTGCTTGTATCTTTTTCCCCCTCCCTTCCTCTCTTCTACTTTCCCCTCCTTCCCCCTTCTTTCTTCTCTTTCTTTTCTTTTTATTTTCTGCACAGGGTCTTCTATGGACCCAGTCTAGCTTTGAACTCTTGATCCTTTAATGTCCGGGGTGCTAGGATTACAGGTATATACTACTGCATTTGGTGTATTAGTTACCTTTCCTGCTGTTGTGATAAAGTACACTGATAAAAGCAATTTAAAAGAGGAAGGATTTATTTTGGGTTATACTTCCAGGATATAGCCCATCCATGGTGGTAAGGAAGTCTAGAGCAGGAGCTTGAAACAATTGACCATATTGCATCCCCTGTCAGGAAGCAGAGAGTCATGAATGCTTGGGTTTAGCTCTTTTTTTGTCTAGTCCTGTACTCCAGTCTGAATGTTGCTAACTCCTGAAAGCTGGCTTCACTTTAATTAACCTAATCTAGAGAATCCCTTACAGATATGCCTGGAGGCTCATTTCTATGGTGATTCCAAATCTCATCAAGTTGAGAGAGTCCAGATTACAGGTGTGGTGGCACATGAAATTGAGGCCAGCCTGATCTATATAGTGAGTTCCAGGCCAGCTGGGACTACAGGGAGACCCCTTCTCAAAAAAAAAAACAAACAACAACAACATTTAATCAGAGTCCAGATTACCCACCATCATTCCCAGCCCCTCCTCACCTTTTTTGAGATGGATTTTCTTTCTTTGAGTATCCTAGGTGAACTGGGATTTGTGATCCTTCTGCCTTAGTCTTTCAAGTACTAGAATTATACAGCCATATACCATCTTACCCAGCTTCTATTTATCTTCAATTATCCTGTAATAGCTGTAAAGAAAAAATTTCCATGGGGGCTGGAGAGATAGCTCAACAGTTAAGAGCACTGACTGCTCTCACAGAGGACCCAGATTCAGTTCCCAGCACCTATATTTCAGCTAACAACTGTCTGTAACTCCAGTTCCAAGGAATTTGACGCCCTCTTCTGACCTCTTCAGACATTGCACAACATGGGTGCACCTACCTACATGGAGGCAATACACTCGTACACATAAAATAAAAATAATAAATATATTTTTAAAATATTTTATTTTATGTGTAAGAGTATATTGTCTGCATGTATGTGAGTGCACCTGTGCCGTGCAATGCTGTGGAGGTCAGAAGAGGGTTTCCGATTCCCCTGGAACTGGAGTTAAGGATGGTTCGTAGCCATTATGTGGGTGCTAGAAATTGAACCCGGGTCCCCTGCAAGAGCAGCCAGTGCTCTTAACTGCTGAGCCATCTTTCTAGCCCCTTGAGATTAAGTCTTAAAATCTCAACTCCATAACTGGATTTTCACTTGATTTTTCAGAAATATTTACACAAAGAAGTTAATCAAGGGTTATCTTAAAGAAGGAAAAAGAATTCTTATAGTATTCTACAGATAATCCACTTAAAAGCAGATTAGTCTTTAATTAGAATTCAGAGCACTTTTAGAATTGCAAAACTGAAAATTTTACATTGTCATTAAATGATTTTGTTTTGTTTCCTTCAAGCTAATAAGCACAAGTGGGTACCACTCCACTTAGATGACGTGAGACCAGACAGTCAGGAAAGACCCGGGTCCCGGAACAGCTCTAGATGTCAGCCTGAAGCAAATAAATCAGCACACAATAATAGGAAAAGTGATACGCGAAGTAAGTCTCATTCTAAGAGAACAATTACTTTAAAAAGGAGCATAGTTTTAATGTTTATCATTGGAACTGTGTATAGTATAAACCTTTTAAGAGTAAATTGCAAAATGTCTCTTTAGTGGTAAATATGTTCAGAGGCCTTTTCCTGTGAACAGTGTAACTATGATACATTTAACAGCTATAAAACTGAATGTTAAAACCTGTGACTGTCTTTGTCTTATATCCAATATTTATTGTAATTTAATTTTATATTATATTTTTTCTTTTATTTTAAGGCAGGATCTCATAATTTAGCTGAGTCTAGCTTGGTAATTCTTATTTACCTGGCATTAAACTAGTGATCCTCCAGCCTCAGCCTTCCAAGTGTTAGGCTCACAGATATGCATCATCACAATCAGGCTTCCATTGTTTCTTACAGTCCCCCATATCCCCATCCAGTCTGAGGTTACTCATTGCTTTAAGTTGTTTTTCCTCTTTAGTCTTTATTATCATGTTAACAGTACTTTTGCTTTGTGTTTCATAACGTTGACCTTTTAAAAATATTTATTTTCATTTTTTGTGTATGAATGTATTGCCTACATGTATGAACATACATGCACCCATGTCATGCAGTGCCTGCAGAGGTCAGAAGAGGGTGTTAGAGCCCCCGAAACTAGAGTTATGGACAGTTGCTAGCCACCATGTGGGTGCTGGGACTCAAACCCAGGTCATCTGCAAGAGCAGCCAGTGCTCTTAACCATTGAATCATCTCTCCAGCCCCCACATTGATCTCTTTTTAAAAGTATATTTTATTATTTTTATTTTGTGTGTGTGAGTGTATTGTCTGCATGTATGTAAGTGAACCTGTGTTGTGCAGTGCCCAGGGAGGTCAGAAAAGCACATTGGATCCCCTGTAACTGGAGTTAAAGACTGGAGGTTAGCTGCCACATGGATGCTGGGAATTGAACCTGGGTCTTCTGCAAGAACAACCAGTGCTCTTAAC